AACCCGACTTGGGCCTCTCGACGGAGGATCGTCAGCGTTTGGTGAACAACGTGAATATAATTATTCACAACGCGTCGATGGTGTACTTCGAGGCGAAGGTGTCTCTCATTTTGCGAACCAACGTGCTCAGCACGCAGAAAATGCTCGAACTAGCGGCTGAATGCCCAAATTTGAACGCGTTCGTTTATGTGTCGACCGCGTATTCTCATCATTACATGAACCCGATCGAAGAAAAATTTTACACGCCCCCGGGCGATTTAAAGATGGTCGAGGACATCATACGAGCTGACGAGGAGAACGCTGCCGGACTTTCGAAAGAAGCGCTCAACGATATTATAGGGAAATGGTTGAACCAGTACGCATTCAGCAAAGCCATTGCCGAGGGTGTAGTCGAGGACTTTGCTAAACGGAGATCGCTTCCGTGCATAATCTACAGGCCTTCTATAAGTACGGCTATATTATCTTCTATTTGTATTTTTGAAGCAGCTAGTAATCTTTTTCCACAAATCTTGTACATTTGCATGTTGTTCATGTTTTGCCCCTCAAATTTATGAGAGGGCAGAACATTAGTCTCGATGATCAGGATGCAATACGTATAATATCGTGAAATCTTTTAACAGTCGTAAACGCGATACGAGAGCCGTACCGTTCATAGACGGACACAAGGAATGGTCCCGTGGTGTTCCTGACACTGTTTTCTTTGGGCTTGTTACACGTAGTGCCTATGGGACCATATATATTATCAGACTATGTTCCAGTTGACATGGCGACTAACGGCCTTTTGTCAGTGATCTGGGATTACGTTGTCCACAGGTACCGTTATTTGTCAATTCCATCGCGTTACATTTCCTATTTCAATAGTAATTGTGAAAGACTGTTGAGAACTGATTGATAATCGTATTGGTTTTAATAAGGGAAACGAACGAGCCACAAGTGTATAATTATGCGTCGTCCGACTGGCATCCTTTGAGTCTCAGTGGATATGAAAACGACTTGATCAATTCAATTCGAAAATATCCGTCAGTCAAGATGGTCTGGTATCCATTCATGATCTATATTTCGAATTCTTACCTCTTCTTGATCTTTCACCTAATGTTTCACGTGTTTCCTGCGATCATCGCCGATTTGTTCTTATTGAGCCAACGAAAGAAACCAAAGTAAGTTTTTTAATAGTTATACAGATTCTCTTAAGTTAAATGTATTTATTTGATCAATGACTGGACCGTATATGATACTGTGTATCTTTTCGTACAGGGCGGTAAATATTATATTTAAGTTGACCAAGCAGATCAAAGTGTTGAATTACTTCATGAATACATCGTGGGTAATAAAATCGGATAAAGTGAAGAGTATAGTAAGCCGTATGAATGCCACCGATTTAGATGAATTTTTATTCGACTTAAATCTGTTGGACTGGAGCTTTGTCACCGACGCAGTTGTCCTATACACTCGCAAGGCTGTCAAAGACCCGATGGAGACGATTCCGTACGCGCAGAAAAGGCTTGAAAAATTGAAAATACTGCACTACTCCACGATAACTCTAATCCCGGTCCTTG